TCTCCATCTTAGAGGTCACTACCATCCACTCTGTTGCTCAAGACAACCTGAATCGTATTTCCGTTATCTGAACAGCTAATTGGTCATCAGGCTTTGTCCTGACAGTACCCAAATAAAGCGTCTTCCTCCACATGATCCTGGCCATACCTCACCGTCTCTCCTGGAATGTTATAAAGCCTCCAGGTTAGCCACCATGGCTCCAGGCCTCTGGCTTTGCTCCATCCTTGTTACTCCTCTAAACAGATTTCTTTACAAAGAAAAAAATTAGATATATTCACTGTACTCCCTAGTTCAGAATTCTTCAACAACTCCTCACAGTTGACAGGGTATCATAACATCCTTAGCACGGCACACGCTGTCCTTCTTTATGGTGCCCTATCAAAATATCTGACTTCATTAGAGTAAGCTGTTCCACCCACACAAATGTTTAAAAGAATTGTGGTTTGACCACAAGTTGAATGGAATTAGCTATGTTCACATTAAAATACTTTCAACATATGAACTGTGTCTCTTAAACAGGTAACTCAGTCTAACTTCTAGACATAATCTCATCTCTGCCAACCAGGGTCCCCATCATGGATCCTGATTCCTAGGCTGTGTGGTAACAGGAGACCCTGGTGTCTCTTAAGGGGTGCTGGGCTTCTCACAGCTTCTCTCAGGTCCCAGAATTCTGGCTGATGAATGGTAACCCACACCACATCTTCTGCCATAGCCTGTTTCAGTCCACTGACACCCTCTACCCACTCTACTCTGTGTATACAGTCTCTTGTATTAAACCAGGCATCTTATTTTTATTTATAATTCTAAGTCAGTGGGCTCAAATCCAAGGGCTACAAAAGGAGCCAACGCTTTTTGCTCTGAATTGAAGCGTGTGAACTCAGACACTTGGTTTCTCTTCAATTTGACACCTTGTATGTAACTGTGCTGTTGATGTTTAGCTTGAATGACCTCGGTTCACTTGGGAATTTATTTGTGTGCTCATAAGCAAGAAAGAAACAGGACTTCAGGGACCGGAAAGATCGTTCAGTGGGTAAAGGTAATTGCCACCAAGTCTGATGAACTGAATTCAGTCCCCTGAACCAATTCTTGCAAGTTCTCTTCTGCCTTCCTCGTATGCACTGTGGCACTTGCATGCCACACGCATAATAAATAAAATATAAAAAAGAAAGACAACTTTGGAAACTCCAGTCCTTATTTTTGCTTAACCCATCTATACCTCCAAAGCTCTCAAACACCAAAGGACACTTCTCTACTAACCTGAAGGTCCCCAGCCCAGGTACACTATGGACAGCTTCTGTGCTGCCTGACTGCCTAGGTAAAAGATAAAAGGTTCTGGATGTGGCAGAAAGTGAAACATGGATTCAAATTGGTCCAGAAAAAATACATCCAAATTTCAGGAGGATTGAGCCTGATTCTAGAGTGGGTCAGAAGTTAAAGGATTCTATTTTTAAAAATCAAACTAGAGCTGGGTGTGGGGGTGCACTACTTTAGTTCCAGCACTCAGAAGGCAGAGGCAGGCAAATCTCTGTGAGTTCGAGGCCAGCCTGGTCTACATAGTGAGTTCCAGGTAGCTGGGACTACAAGGAGACCCTGTCTCAAAAAGAACAACAACAACAACAAAAAAATCAAAATATCTCTGGAAAAGTTACATAAGCAAGGAGAAAACTGATTTGGTGTTGGTGGAAATACCTGACTGCCTACACCCAGCATTAGACCACGGGTTTGTCATTGCATTAGTCAGGTTCTTTAGGGGAACAGATCCAATAGGATGCATTTATAATTATGAGAGAGAATTTATTCTACCGGCTTACATGAGCAGAAGCTAAATGACCAACTATAGGTAGAAGAGCTGAGGGACCAGCTGCTCAGACCAGGAGATTGGAAGCCACGGGACACGGGGGATGAGTGACACAGCCCCTGACCTAAGGCTGAGGCCTGGAGGCCCCTGGAGAGTGTCCCCAGGAGTCCCCACTCAAAGACTGAGTGGCTGCAGTGACAGAGGCGCCCACATGAGCTCCAGACTAGGGTGCCATTTCCCTTTCTTCTGTTTCTTTTGTTCCAAAAGAGTCCCCACCTGCTTTGAAAGGTGCTGTCTACATTTAAGGTGCCTCTCACACTTCCCCCCAACTACCAGTTTGCTCACCCATATGCCAGTCATCTCTGGAAATGTCTTCAGAAACACACTGGAAGTGTGTTTTATCAATTTCCCATACATTCTCTCAATCCATTCATAACCATCCATAGGTAACAAAGATTAACCATGACAGTCACCATGGACCTTGATCTCCCTGCTCCCCCAAGGAAAATAATAAAAATGAAGGTCTCTTTGACAGTATAATACTTGCAAGATCTATAGCATTTGGCCACATAGTCCAAGTACTCTGATGGATACACAGGTATATCTGTGTCCTAAGCACTCTACCTGTGCCCTTGAAAAGTTTGTGCCTACCTACAGACCTGGAATATAATTAAGAAAATTTCTTAATTATATCTCAGAACATCCAAGTGATTTAAGTTTGTATCTGAACCATTTAGTGTGAAACATCATCTTGGTGGTATGTTGGAGATTATCAGAAGCACATATAATTTGCCTGGGAAAGAAAGTATCAGGATTGCCAGAAAAAGACAGTGGTTCTTTAGGAAGCCATATATTTTTTCATGTCCTATGAAATGTGGGTTCAAAATTGACTCAGAAGGGATCATAGCATTTGCTGAATCATATATACACACCCCTCTTACATTTTTCCAATCGTGATCCTTCCCCAACCAGATCCTACTGTAAGAAGTCATAGCTGGAGAGGGAGAGGTGAGCTGGCAGAGCATCTGGGGCTGTGGAAGAACTTGACTCAATCACAGAGGCAGGTCATGAGCAGACAAGTTGTAGATTCGGGGTGAATGTGTTCCCACTGAGGAACTTGGGAAATGAGCAGGCTAGACTGTGGAGGACATCATAGGTTTGTATGAAGTCTGGATTTGCAGCTATGAAAGAAACTACTTGGAAATGTTTCTGCAAAAGTCTACTAGGGGAGAGGGCTAGAAAGTGGAAATAGAATAAAGAAGAGAGAGGGTGAAATCAGAGTAGTAGGCTAGAGGAACAACCTGGACCCGAGGGTGAAGACAGCATTTCATCAAGGTTGGTGAAATAAAGCGAAAGGAGAGAGATTTTAGAGGAGGAACCAGCAGGGTTTGGTGCCTAGATGGGTGAGGGATATAGAATACTAAAGAGGAGACATGACTTCAAACTTGTCCCACGTTCTAGCCTAAAGGAATGTGAGAGTTCCAGCTCTGTTGACTGAGATGAGGAAATTAGAAAGGAAGCGCGAGCTATTTAGCCAACATAGGTCCTTAGTTACCAGTAAGTCTGTGGAAGCTGAGGACCTGGTGTACAACTCACAGATGCACCACCTGATCACCAATGTCTCCTGCACCTGAGCTAGGAGGACCAGCCTCTGCCTGCACCACCACAGGACAAATGACGGGGCTGCATAGAGCCTCAGCCCTAGGGATCTTCCCCTGACCCCCAATAACAGCACAGCTTTGGCAACAGCCCTGTGTCCAGTCAGTTACAAGTCATATCCTTGGCCCAAACCTCAATTCCCAGTGACAGCTAGTCCTGAAAACCTGTGCACTGGAGCTTCATTCATATGTAGCTTTATTCGCCTCCCTCAAGTGTGAATGTCATCCAGTGTTGCCCCAAACTTGGAGGCTATACCATAGCCACCGTAGAGAAAGGTTCAGTGCACACCACAAAGTCTATAAAAAACCCAGCACTACCAATAAAGCTGCTGTTTGTCTGACCTGTAGAGAAACAAAGTCAGGCAAACAGAAACATTAGCATCAAGACTGATATGTTAGTTTATCTTTTAAATTAACATATTTCACTCATTTTATATATTTTCCAGTTCGTCAGTGTCCAGTAAGGATTTTTGAATAGATGCTCATGAGGAATGTTGGTCTATAATTTTGTGTGTGTGTGTGTGTGTGTGCATGCATGCATGTGTGTTTGCATGTGTGTGTTTGCATGTGTATTATGGTGTGGAGGCCAGAGACTGACATCTGGTGTCTTCCTCAAACACTCTCCACCTTTGAGACAAGGTTACTTACTGAACCCGGAGATCACGGATTTGGCTAAATTACCTGGCCAACAAGCCCCAGCGATCCTCCTGTCTGTGTGCTGCCGTGCTTCTTATGTATGTGCTGGGCAATCCGAACTCCAGACCTTTACCAACTGAGCCACTCCCCAGCCCCTATAATTTTTTTCTTATAATATTTTTATCTGGTTTTGGTATCGGGATCATGTCAACATATAAAACAGCTTGGAGATTTTTTTCCCCCTCTTTTATTTTCCTAAAGAACTTGTGTAATTAGAATTTTTTCCTCTATGTTTATGAGGGAAAAATTCATCTTTATGAATTCAATTTCTTTGACAGATAATCCGTTCTGTTTTTTCATTTCTTTTTAATTTTTTGAGTCACATTTTTTTTCTGATTCATTCTTTTTTAAAAAATTTATTTATTTAATAACCACATGATTAGAAGAAGCATTTCATTACAGTTTTAACATATTCAATAACAATTTCCAGAGAAAAGATACATCTCTTTCAAAAGGGGCTGTAAATTTCTAGGTCCACAGTTGAATTAATACAGTTATACAATATTGAACTCAGTATAAACCCTTTGAATTAATACAGTTATACAATATTGAACTCAGTATAAGCTCTGTAAAACATAAAATTGAATGAGGTTTTAACCTTTAAAAAAGATCTCCACTTCATTTTAAGATATAATGTTTCATATAGAAAAACTAAATTTTAATGCTACTAACATAACACTTAGATGTTTGAGTCACAAATTTTTACAAAAACAGATCCTGCCTCAAGTTTATTGGTAACCTCAGCACAGGGAACCAGCCATACACAGTGGGGGTTGGGAGGAATCACGCATCTGTCTTCACTAGGTCCACCTTTACTAGGGGCCCTTCTTTAGGGCACCTTTGGGAGCCTAAACTGGAGGTGGAGCCAGTGCAGGAACTGAAGCCTGGGCCTGAGCCAGAGCTGCAGCCCCAACTTTGATTTGGGCTTGGGCCTTCGATTGGCAGAGCCCGTGACCCTTGGCCATGTAGGCAGGAGTCCGCTTCCCAAGCTTGGAGCAGCTGATGAAGGCAAGTGGGCAGAACTTGCTAGTAGCGCTCTTCTGCCTCTTGGGCCAAACCTCCCCTAGGCTTCTCAAGGGTCCTGGTGGCCTGGGCTCTGCACCCACTGCTTTTGCATTGTTTGTCTGCTTCTTTTCCAAGCCCTTCTTGTGCTTTGTGGAAAAACGCATGTTCCTCAGGAACTTGGCGTTGACCGGATTAAGAAATTCCTATCTTTGTGATTGGGGTTTCTTGATGCCATTTTTGTGCCATTTTCAGGAGATAACTCAGCTCCAGAATGTCTGTGGATAGAAAGAAAAAAGGCCGCAGTGCAGCATGGGAAGAAGGGTCGACACTGTCTGAGTTGCATTTTTACAATTAAGCTTAGACATTTCATGTAAATGCATTTCATCAAGTATGTTGACATAGAGTGCCCATATTGTAACACTGCCTTAATCGTCTTTAAATGGATGTCGAATCCCTAATGACAGCTCGTCTTTGGCGATTGTTACTGATCGCTTTTATTTCCCTCTTTATCTTGACCAGCCTTGCTAAAGGTTTATGGATTCAAGCTCTCCTTCCCTTTCTAAGCAATGTTTTAGCTTTATCTCATATGTTTTCATATGCATAGTTTCGTTATCACTTGACTTGAATATTTCATACTCTCTTGTACCTTTATTTAGAAGTTCACTGATTTCCAAATACTTAGGGATTTTTCGAGGTATATTATTGTTACTGGTTTCTCATTTAATTCCATTGTAGTCAAAGAACATATTCTGTAAAATAAGCCTTATGAATTGTGAAATTTATTTTAGCATAAAATATGTACCCTTTTGATGAATGTTTCACGTAAACTTGAAAAGACAAAACCTTCCTTTCATTGTGGTGCTCTTCATAAATGCCAGTTAGAGCCCAATTGCTCTGCCACTTAACGAGAACCATCGTAAACCTCTAACAATGACTATTTCTTTCTCTATGCCCCTCTTTAATATGGCCAGGTTTCTTTCAAGTCTTTTAAAGTTATACTTTGAAACATGTGGGCTAGAATCAGTGTATTTCCTGTTAAATGTTACCTCCTCTGGGGTTCTCCTTTTCCTGAAGTTCACTTTGTCTTACAGTAAAATAGCCATGCCAGATGCCCGTGCTCACAACTTTCAGCATCCACCGTTCCCTCCTTTTCCTGCCCACCAGGCACTGTTAAAACACCTATTTTCTAGAGTGTGTATATTTGAATATTCCTCTTTATATCCAGATTTTCTATTTAATGTGTTTACATGATTAGGTTTTGAGCTACTATCTTATGCGATTTACAGTTTGTTCATTTAGTTTTATTCTCTGGCTCTTCCTTTCCTGCCTTATTGTAAGCCCACAAATGCTTTTTAAGATTACATTTTGGGCAGGGCACGGTGACACACACCTTGAATCTCAGCATTAGGGAGGCAGAAGCAAGTGGATCTCTTGAGTTTGAGGCCAGCCTGGTCTACATAGTGAGTTCCAGATCAGCCAGGCCTACCTAGTGAGACCCTGTCTCAAAAACAAAACAAACAAAAAGAAATTCCATTTTAGTTCCTCAATTGCAGTTTTTTTAAGTGGTTATTGTAGGGTTTACAATATGCATCTATTTAGAATTAATATTGTACTGCCTTAAAAATGAGGAAGAATCTTAGAGTGAAATCTTACCTCCGCCCTTTGTGCTATTTTATCTATTGATTTATTTACTTATTTCCATATTTAAACATGTATATATGTATCTTTAAGTTTTTATTCTTTAATTTCCATATACTTATTCCAATGCCTGGATTGTCTTGAAGCCTGTTCCTATGATGTGCTGTTTTACCTGCGTATGGTCGCAGATCCCATTTTCGTAAGTCTGTAATCTTCTGTGTGCTCTGCATTGTGGGTGATGTTTTGTATGGACTGTAGACAATGTCATCTTTTATTAAAGGCTGTTAAGGATTGTTCTGGCAACAATCTTTCCTTCCCATCAGGTGTGGTTTTACTGTTTGTTAGGGTGGATCTGTTTGGGTTCTGAACTTAATCGTAGGGTGTGTCCTTCATTCTGGGTTGTGGCCTTTCTCCTAAGGCATGGCCTTTCTAGGGTCTCAACTGAACACATATGGTGTGCAGGAAGGTGCCTCCACTGTGGTGAAGGCAGAGCTCCAACATCTGCCAACTGGGCATAGCTCATAACACCATCATCCCTGTCTCAGCTTGCAGCCAATGACCTTTGCCAGGCCTAGAGTCAAGCCCTGCACAGACATGCCAGCCAACCGCCAGGAAGTGCCCTGAGTCTTCACCAAGATTCCTGGGCTGCCACCCCTATTGTTCTAGATCCCTGTTCCCCAAAACTCTGTTCATCATTCCAACTTTCTCACACACCCCAAACTCCAGCCCTGCCTGTTCAACTTAGTGAGACCTCAGTTCCCTTGGTCCTTGAATGTTGTAACACAGAGGTCTCTACATAGAAAATGTCTTTTAACTCTGTCTTCCCAATCCCCTGGGGTAATGGTAAATCTTTTTTAAGGGGCATTTCCATTTGGTACATCAAATACAAAGAGAATCCATAAGAAATGCGGAGAAGGAAGAAGAAGAGCCACCAAACCTGATGAGCCAGGGAGATCCACATTTCCTACTGAAAATAATTATGGCCCCACTCAGGCCTGAGGGCACTCTGGTATTAGGAACCCCAGAAACACCCTTCTCTTTTGTGTTTCTTTCTCTTTTTTCAATACATATTTTTATTGAATTTTGTGCATTTCATACAATGCATCTTAATCACATTTAGACCCCCCTCCTCTAACTGCATCCCTCATAGCTGCCTCCCCCATGCATTCTTAAATGTTAAGGTCTATCGAGTCAAGTTTGTGTGTCCCTGGATAGGATTCCTATATTAAACCTCACCCACCTAGGGCTCAGGGACCATTATGGAAGAGAGGGTGGGAAGACTGTAAGAGCTCAGGGTGGTGGATGACCACAAGGAAACCCAGTTTTCCAGGCTTCTGGGAACTTGCTCACATGAACTTACAGCAATGGTATCAGCATGCACAAGACCCATGCATACTCTATCAGACAAAAAACAGCATAAAACTGGGGGAATGGGCAGGAGACCCTGACCTTAGCCAAGGAACTACTGGCGGCTGATCACTGCTGGGTGAGGGAAAGTTAGTCTTTTGTGTTTCTTGAATGCTGCTAAGCAGGTGAGAGGTGATGCATTCTACAGACACAAGGCCTTGACCTGGAAGCCACCCTGTTGCTATAAGGGCAGCAGGAAGAACAAGATTTTGAAACCAGGCAGATCGAAGCCAAGACTGGCTCCACCTTGCATTTGGGTCTTAGGCATGTAACCCAATGCCTCTAAGCCTCAGTTTCCTCAACAGTAGGGGTAGCTCTGCCCACTCTTCTGAGAGTGTGAGCAATAAGGGCCTGGAATGAGGTCTGCATCATGCTTTGTGTCAATAGATGCCTGCTGGGGTTTCACTCTGTCTCTTGGGAGCCTGTTTTTATATTGATTTCAATTTGGGGGTAAGCCATGGGAGAGATGACCTCTTCACCACCTGTTCCCTAATGAGGAGTGTGCAGCCTATGTCTCAAACCCACAGCAACTGCCAATGACACAAGCTAGAGTTGGCTCAAATCCTACCTTTAGCACAGGGGGTGCCAGAAAGGGCCTGGAGTTTTGCTTTCTGCACCCATAGGTTCTGTGACTCTGGGATCCACCTTGTGCCTCCTTTCTCTGATCAGTTGGTACACACAATGATGCTGGCCATGCCCATGTCATAGAGCTGTCAGGAGGCACAGGGTGCCCCTTCCAGGGTGGCACACAAAGGGCAAGCAGGATTTAACTCTGTCACTCACCCTTCCCCTTCCCTCACCTCTTGGCTGCTCTGTTTCCCACCTGCGATCAACCAACCCTACACAGCATCAAGCTGTCAGCAGAGCATCAGTAGTTTGGGGCTGGGCAGGGCACCATGCTCTCAAGTGTGTGGGTAAAAATGAGGTGCATGAGCAGGCCGCCCTGGGCACTGAGGAGGCTCTCCCCACACTGAATGCTTTGCGCTGGCTCTACCCTCCTCAGGTTCACATTCCTTTAGTTCTAGGGTCCTAGACCACTCTCTCCTGCTCCTATACTGAGGTACTCCCTCTATCAGGGAAGCAGCAGCTAGCAAAAGACACAAAATTCCTGCTCTATAGTGAACATGTTCTGAGGAACTCAGAAAAGGCAAATACAAAAACTCCACAGCACATGGTTCTGAGGGCTCTGTGGAAACTCAAAGCAAAAAGTGATTGGAGGAGCTAGAGGGACCCAGGTGAGGCTCAGGTAAGGTGTGTGTGCATGCCCACCAGAGGAGGACCCAGAAGGAGGTATTTGATGGAGGTGAAGGATGAGGGAGGAATGCCTTGGGGAACACTTCCAGTGGAAGGAGGGTGCTGAGGCAGGAGCATGTTTGAATGATGGCCGGAGGGCAGTGAGGTCTTTGCAGCACAAAGGCGGCCATAGAGCAGAGGTCAGGTGTATACCTGGGAAACCAAGGTGTGGACATTGGTGTTCACCAGTGTCGAAGGCCCTTTGCAGAGTTCTGAGCAAATGAGTGACAGAGTCTGACTTTAGGCAGGATCATTAAACTCATATGTGGATAGAAAACTAGATGAATGAGGTGTGACAGCTCCACAGGTGACTGAAGTTGACGTCCTGGCCTAGAGGATGGCAATGGAGGCAGTGAGTGGCATCTGGAGTGTGGGTGTGTCCCGAAGGCAGAGAGCTGCCAGACTTGCTGGCCAATTGGTTGTGGAGGGTGAGTGAAAGGGAGAAGCAAGGCCAGCGAAGAAAACAAGCCTGTCCCCTACCTCCATCCTTCAGAGATCAATGAGGGTCCATCTACCACCTAGGGCAAGCTCTTGCCCCCCATGACAAGACACAGAGTGGGGAGAGGGTGCGAATACCCACCTCAGCCACATCAAGCTAGAATACCATGGTCACAAAGGTGGAGACAGACACACACAATCAACCCTGGCCAGCTAGGCAAGCTGGTCTGACCACTGCTGGTGATAGCCACTGGCCCTCCTGGGGCCATCCCAAGGCTCTTCTGCTAAAAAGCTCCAAACCATCCTGAAATTGTGGGTGGACCCACACCTCAACCTTTCACCACAAACTCTGAGCTTCCAGGGTACCGCAGATCAATTCATACATTCT